GTCAGTGTGAGCATTTATCAGTGTGTGCATTTGTCAGTGTGAGCATTTGTCCGTGTGAGTAATTTTCGTGTGAGCTTTCATGACAGTGAGCTTCTTTCTGTGCGCAATTTTCGTGTACGGTTTTGTCTTGTACGGTTTTGTCATGGAACCGAGGAGTAGTTGTTAATATATTGGATAGGCTGTCGCAGACAGCCAAAAATGTGGTGGTCCTCCAGCTTGAGGGTTGGGCGTGGGGCTAACAATCCCTCACCATAAAAACGTATTTTGTTACAAAATCTTTAAAGGACATGAGATTTGGAACGTTGAATATTAGGAGTCTCTGCTATATGGGTGTGAAACTTGGTTTCTCACTTTGATGGAGGGACATAGATTGAGAGTCTTTGTGAACAGTGTTTTGAGGGAGATATTTGGACCTAAAAGGGAGAGAGACAGATCATGGAGAAAATTCTATAATGATGTACTTCTCGCCTGATATTGTTAGGGCGATTAAATCAAGGAGGATAAGGTGGGTGGGACATGCAGCATGCATGAGGGGAAGGGATGTTTACAAGGTAAAGGTTGGGAGGCCTGAGGGGAGGAGACCACTGGGAAGACCTAGGCGTAGGTGGGAGGATAACGTTAAGATGGAACTTAGGGAGACAGGAATCGATGGAGGGAACTGGATGCAGCTACCTTGGGACAGAGGCCATTGATGGGCTTTTGTGAACACAGTGATGAACCTTTGGGTTCCATAAATAAAGTAGGCTATTCTTTGACAGGCTGAGTATACAATTAACTTTTCAAAGAATTTCCTGCACCATAGTCATTGAGTGCGTGAGTCTATATAAGAGATTAGACATTTTGCCTCTTCGATGTGAATACATATTCTCATTAATGAACTTAATTATGAAAAACCAAGAACATTTTACATGTTGTATTTTTTATGACTTGTTCCACATACTATTGTTACTGGACAAAATTATGGATCCATGGAATGTAATAATGTGTGTGTGCATGCATGCTTTAAATGCTAAGCATAGGCTATTATGGTTTTCCCCACCTATGGAACAGTTACTTCATTTTAATGCCCTCCTTAGTAGATAATGAGTTTGATTTGCCTGGCATAAAGTTAACACCCATAAACAGAAGGGGTTTATGTATTTCTTACTATGAACCATTCTAAAAACAGCTACTGTGGGACATTTGCCGTATTTGTCACCCTGGCAATGGAAGCTGCACTGCATTTAGTTTTGATGGGAGTGCAAACTGCCTGACTTCCTCGATGTGAAGTGATCTTCTGGCACTGCCATAATCCGTGCATAATGACATCACATTTGGTGTGGCAAGGGGCAAGCACTTGCACCCGTATGAACTAATGTCGGTCGTAATGAAGTGAAAGTTGGAATAAACAGAAATCTACCTTTATTGAAAAATTGTTCTAGTTTACATAACAGTGAAAAATAATTTGGAATTACCTCTCTAATATTATAAAATTGTTTAACAAACATCCAAAATGGAACAAAAGAATATAACAGGAAATATTCTGCTAGTGTACTATTGTTTTCTGTTCATATAATTTTGTTGCAGACTGTTCTTCAAATTTCTCGAAGAAGGAATACTGTATGTCAAGAATCAGTTTAAATTATGACAAAGTGGTTGCAGATACTTAAATTTACTACTGGTAAAAGAAAACAAATTGTGTGCAGGTCAGTAAGAGCGTGATATATGGCCTGTGATTTACATAAAATACATTTTATGTGTAAGTGCCTGTGTGAAATGAAAAAGTCTGTAGTTATTTGTTATAAGCAAATTTTACCATATGTGTGCTATAGAAAAGCATTTAAACCCTCTTACTGTTCTAAGCCCATGCACAATGACCCAAGAATTATCTCGCTGAACAGATTCGAATTGAAATGTGGCAAAAACTAATTTCTCTTTAGTTCCCAGTTTATTTGTACATATATTTTTAAGAACTGCCCCACTATGACCATGACCACATGGTCTGAAGGGAGTGAAGGATGGTACCTGCCTCTTGAAGAGGCATTGTGTATTGTACCTTTTATTTTAATCAAAATAATGTTGTGAAGTAGTGAACTTATGATTTTCATCATATGACTCTTGTTTGCACAGTGATGTTTATCCCAGGTAAGATGACAGAAGAGGAAAATATCTGAATTTTTATTAATGAATGTTGGGAAGCAAATATTTTTATTCAGCAGTGTGTGAAAATTACATTACCTACAGGCTATTTTCCAGTTGTCGGAGGAGGGTATTTGTGCAAAGGAGCAGCCTACATACGTTTTTGTGCCATTCAGTATAATGGATCAGTAGGAATAGGAGTTAGAGAATGGTTGCCTCAGATGGCTCTTTTCAGAAAAATAAAATATTACCAACTTCCTGGTGTCAAACACAAGACAAAGGATATAGGATTGACAGTGTTTGATTTTGGTAGCAGTTGGAATGAGTCTTGTGCAGGTCAGTGGAGTCTTGCCAAGCATACAATGTGCGGTACAGAAATAGCCTGTATTGCCATATATAACTATAACACTTGAGTTGACTCTAAACTAATGAACCAACCATCTGTTTAACCAGTTAGTAAATCAATCAGTCAACAAGTGAAGTCCTTGTTATAAGTAAGTCATAAGAAATTTCTTCTTATGCTAATTACTTCATGAGAAATAATTATTATAAATACTCATATTGTGGTATTAATTGATTACATAGGAGAATGTTCTCGAAACAATGCTCTGTGCATTCAAAGAGTTCATTCTACTTGCTGTGGGAAGTGAACTTAGGCTTCTTAACATCTGATACCCTCCACCTCCTGTCAGACTCTGGCGGCTGACATAGCCCAGTGATAATCTACAAAAGCGAAGAAATAGAGAAAGAAATAACATCTTTTATTATTGAAGTTGTGGAAGCAAGGAGCAGCAGAACATCATGGAGACCACTGGTGTGCCAGTGATGTTTGTGCTCTGGGATGAATCAGAAGTGAAGTTAAGAATCAGTCAGCTTGGATAACTGAAGCTTCATCATGGTAACAAGTTGAGAAAATACTACCACAGCACATGTACACGTACTTCTGCTCAACCTGAAGCTCCTCCTGAACCCCATGCCAGTGACTTCATGAAGGACTGGAATGACTTTGTCGCCCCCTGGAACACAATCATGAATCATCCAGTCACTTGAACAGCAATTGTGTGACCGAGGTTTTGTATCCACTGGAAGTTAAGTTTGGAACCATCAACTGACACCTTAAACCTTGGAGACAACACTTGAACTAAGATAATAATAATCCGTGGCATAACAGCCCTCTGAGAGCCAGAGCCGACTAGCTGGCTGCTGGCCTCATGTTCACATGCCTAAGCGGAGGTGAACGATCATCCAACCAGATATAGAGTGACGTTTGGTCAGCACGAGGAACCCCCAGCCATTGCTAGTTTTCATGACCGGATTACGCTATCCATTGTAGCTTCCCAATTTTCTCACGATGTTGGGTTGGCACCGGTTCCATACACCGGTCGAAAATCTCATGAGAAATTTCTTTCCCCGAGACTTGAACCAGCGTGCATTCCGTATCACCGGTCCGAAGCATGATACCTCAGACCACGTGGCTACGGCACGGGACATGAACTAAGATATTGAACTGTATTCTTACCATTTAGGTATCTAACTTCCTTATGTGCTCATTTTAAATAGTAAGAAGGTACGGGTAAAGTTGTCTATGTGCAGAGGCATTGTGCTGTGAATATGAATGGAGACTAGTAGTCAATTGATTTATATACAGAGAAGAGACAGTGGTGCTGCATGAATTCCAGACTTGACACAGTGGTGAAAAACTGGCTTCCTGTAGTTCAAACCCCCCCAGTCATCAATTTCATTGATACAGTTGTCATGACTTTCGTGGGTAGTTGATCATTTCTCAGGTGGTCAGGGATGTAGTCAAGCCAGGGCAGTGCCCCAGTGATTTTCTGAATGATAGGGCAGAATGCTGGTGATGTACATAGGTAGCATTGCCTAGGGGCATTAGGCTGTAACCCCCCAAAAATATATAAAATACATATCACACTGCTAGAAGCTTAGAAAAAATATGTTTAATAAAGATTACACATCGAGTAATTTATAGGTTGTTTATTTTCTGGCCTAAGACGTGGAAGCATCTACCTGTTGACGTATGTGCATTTTGTTGTCCACAACTGCATTCAGAAGTGTACAGTTGTCATTATGCAGCAATGAAAACAGCCTCACATGCTAATTCATGTAATCTCCTTCAACCTACCCTGACACTTCTGTTTCCTGGTTTTGTGGAATCAAAAGGGCCATTTCTATGTTCACTGAGCCCTATCCTGAACCAGTTCAATTCAGTTCACATCTTCTAAACATTTTTCTAAGATTCAGTTTAGAATTACCCTCCCATCACTCCCTTAAGGTGTTGTATCGAAAGTTCTCATTTACATCGTGTGCTATGACACAATCTTAATGCTTTTATTGCCATTATAGTATAAGATGGAGAATATGAATTATTCATTGTGGTGTCATGCAAAGCAGACTACTGTATGAAGAAGCTGAATTATTTGAATACAGAAACTGAACAGCATTGCGGAGGTTCATCATACCTGGAGCACGGAGCCCATAAGTTGTGAAACAGTCTTTGTTGCCTTGATGGCAGCTTCCACCAATCCCTGCCCAGCCCTGGGATCCCTGATTTTGTTGTCACCAGGCAGTGGGTCAAACAGGTCACCCAGCAGTTGACTTGGAGCACGTGTTGTGATTGGAGAAGGCTTCAACTTTTTTGATGGAGCTGAAGGACTCAGGACATCCTGCCAGGTATGAAAAAAAAGTCTGACATCTTTGCCTACTCCATGCATAATTTAATAACACATCACCTCACTCTTGGTAGACCCTGTAATCACAGCAGGGGTCAGCAAACTGGCTATTCGTATCTTTGTTGATGGCCACAGAGAAAGTTAATAATGTCTTGGACAGAATCACATTTATTTCACTTGAAAACTATAGCTGGTGTAACTGGGAAATGAATAATAACTATATTCTTCCAATAAGTGAGTTAATAACAGTCATTCAGCAAGCCTCTGGCATGTTAATTTTAAAAAAGGAAAGAGCATACTTCATGAAAGTGTATTCCAATTGTTATGTAAAATGCCCATGAAAAACATGCATGCAAATATTTTCCTTATTTTTTTTATTTAAAAAATTAAATTGCATTATTATTATTATTTTTAACAAGTATGAGAAGGTGGATATAGTGAAATAAACAATACTGTCTTTATGGGCTCTTCACCAAGATGTTGGTGTTTCTAGTGGTAATTCCTGAATGTCATATTCAGCTGTTGGTCCAGTTTTAAAATGGCTGTTATGGTTTGATTACTTGTGTTATTGAAGTTGCCTGTTTATTGTACACCAAGTAACTTTTAAAGGGCCATACTAATTGTTTTTTATAGTATATCAATTAATTTGAGAAGTTCTGTTTCATTTGTAAATGCATGCTGCGGGGCCTGATGAAACACTGATCACTGGCGCACTCAGAAACGTTTCAGAGTGCCCCAGAGACCAAGTCAGGCCGAGACCTGGTCTAGCAGAAACCGGGACCGGGACAGATCGGGTCAGGCAAGAATCGGGTGCGAAATTGATTTTTTTCGAAAAATCAAAAAATGATTAAGATTGTTAAAAAGGCGCAAAAGAAGCAAACATTTTTGAAAAATTTCAACTTCAACATTCTCTTAAAAAATATCTCCAATTCTTCGTTTAATTCATTTTTATGACATTTTCGAACTTTTTTGAAGTTTTTAAAAAATTTAAAAATTTGTGTCGTTCACCAGACATACGGACTAGTAGAGATTTATTGAAAAATTTGAATTTTTTTCAAAATTCTCCCCTCCGATGCCTGACAAGCAGTTTCTGCTGTACATGGTCTCTGACACACCCGGTCTCTGCAGGAAGCGGTCTGTAAGACTCGGAATCTTGCTAGCCGTCTGCAGACCTACTACGGTACAGACCGGTTGATGCGAAGTCTGCGTCCGGAAGAGAGCGCGTGATGGAGAGACTAGCCGTCTCTGCAAACCTAGTACGCGAGAGAACGGGTGAGGCTGAGATGCATCTGACTGAGGGCGCGTGATGCAGAGACCAAGGCCTGGGGTCTGTGTGTGGAAGATACTGGGTCATGGTGTGAATGGGTGTGGCGAGACAGAGACGTGATCTAGAGATTTTCGGATAGGGAGAATTTTGGAAAAAATTTAAAAATTTCGAAAAATCAAAAAATGCAGAATATTTTCCAAAACGCGCACAAAACCAAATATTTTCGAAATTTTTGAAGAAAAATGTTGATGTTGAAAATTCGCAAATTTTTTTGGTTTTGTGGGCTTTTTGGACAATTTCCAGCATTTTTTTATTTTTTGAAAAGTTTGAATTTTTTTTCAAAATTCTCCCCTCTGATACCTGACAAGCAGTTTCTGCTGTACACGATCTCTGACACACCTGATCTCTGTAGGAAAAGTTCTGTAAGACTCGGACTCTGACTAACCGTCTGCAGACCTACTACGGCAGAGACCGGGTGAGCCAGAGACTTGCGTCCGGCAGAGAGCGCGTGATGCAGAGACTAGCTGTCTCTACAAACCTAGTACGCGAGAGAACGGGTGAGGCTGAAACTGCGTCTGACAAAGGGCGCGTGGTGCAGAGACCAAGGCCTGCAGTATGTGTGTGGAAGAGCCTGGGTCTAGGAGTGAAGGGGTGTAGCGGGACAGAGACGTGATCTGGAGTTTTCGGATATGTAGAATTACGAAAAAAAAATCGAAAATAACAGAATAATGAAACGTTTTTGGTTTTGTACGCTTTTTAAGCAGTTTGTAGCATTTTTCGGTTTTCCGAAAATTTTCAAACTTCTTTCAAAATTCTCCCTTCGCGCTTCCTACTACAACCGGTCCCTGCCAGACTCGGACTGTGCTCGGCCGTTGTTTGCCGGACACGGTCTGTGCATCACAAGTTCTCTACCACATTCGGTCTCTACCTGTCTCGGTTTCCGTCGGACTCAGATCTGCTATCACCCAGTCTCTGTCAGAGACCGTGTGCCTCAGGGTACAGAGTACGGAAGAAACGGAGTTCGGCAGAGACCGGTTCTGGCAAAGGTTGGGTGGGGAAAATTAAAAAAAAATCAAAAATTACAACAAAAAAATGCTAGAAAATGTCTGAAAAGCGCATAAAACCAATAAAATTTGAAAAATTTCATCCTCAAAAATCTTTTCAAAAATTTAGAAAATTTTTGGTTTTGTGAGCTTTTTAGACAGTTTGCAGCATTTTTCGATATTCCGAAAATTTTCAAATTGTTTTCAAAATTCTCACTTCGCGCTTCCTACTACAACCGTTAGACACCAGGACATGCAGAGACCGTATCACACAGAGACCGTGTGTGTCAGGGTACAGGATACGAAAGAAATGGAGTTGGGCAGAGACCGGTTGTGGCAGGGGCGGGTGGGGAGAATTTTGAAAAATTAAAAAATAAAAAAAATGCTAGAAAATGTCTGAAAAGTACTACTAAATTTTGAAAATTCCATCCTCAAATTTTTTTTCAAAAATTTCGAAAAATTTTGGTTTTGCGAGCTTTTTAGACAGTTTGCAGCATTTTTCGATTTTCCAAAAATTTTCGAAATTTTTGAAAATATTTCTGAAGATCGAATTTTTCAAATATTTTCAGTGTTGTGTGCTTTTTGGACAATTTCTAGCATTTTTTGTTTTTTAAATTTTTATTTTCTTTTAAAGTTTTCAATTTTTTTCAAAATTTTCTATATGCAATCCCTACTACAATCGGTCTCAGCCAGACTTGGTCTGTGCTCAGCCGTTGTCTGCCGGACTCGGTCTGTGCCTCACAAGATCTCTGCCTAACTCGGTCTCCTTCAGACTCGGTCTGTGCCTCACCCAGTTTCTGTCGGAATTGGTCTCTAATTCACCCGATTTAGGAGAGACAGGACGTACAGGGACCGGATCGCACAGAGACCGAGTCCAGCAGAGACCGTGTACCTCAGAGTACAGAGTACGGCAGAAACGGAGTTTGCCAGAGACCGGTTCTGGCCGGGTTCGGGTGGGGAGAATTTTGAAAGAAGTTTTCAAATTTTGAAAAATCTACATAAAATTAAAAAATGCTAGAAATTGTCCAAGAATCTCACAAAACCAAAAAGTGTTCAAAAATTTCGAATCTATGCCCATTAATGCTGAAGATTACCACACTAGTGATTTAGTTTGAAAAATCCATTAACAAGAACATTTCATGCTGCAATTTCAGGTGTGTAATGTGCTTTGTTCTTTTAGTTTGTAAAAGATAACCTGTCATTTTGCTTTATATACATCTTGATTTTGTTGTTTTTGTTTCTTGGCTCTACAACCCAGTTGTGGGTTTTCGTCACCTTCTTTTTTGGAGGTTTCTTGGTTTTGAGATACATCTGGTAAGGGGGTGTTAAACCTCACTATGACATTTTAAAAATATTGTAGAAAGTAAAGTTTTATGTAGTGATAAAGCACTTTGAGGTGTAGCCTATGATAAATTTCAGGTTTAAGTTCTCACCTGGATACTGAGCTGGTTGTGCTGGTTCCTCTGGGATGGATGTGACATTGCTTGCTTAATGAGGAAGTCAGCAAGCAGCTGTTCACTGGGCGTCAGGTTTGCTTGAACTGTGGGTTCCTATCAACAGGAAATGCAATTTTATAATTCTCTGTTCTCTGTCCCTGCTGAAACATTCTCTCTCATCAAGAATAACTTCTGTATGTTAAACAGTTAGTGAAAGATAAGGGCATATGCCACCTGGAAAACCTAATCATAACTGGGATGATAATATTAAACTGGATCTGTCATATTTTTTCCTTCAGGGTAGGAAACCTGAATGACCAGGGGGTCATTGTTGCACAACAATGTAGACTGAGGTCCCATTCTTGAAAAACACTTTTGCACAACAACTGAAGATCACATTAGTACAACAATGCCCTGTTTGATGTGGTATGAAAAACGTCTCTGGAATGTCAATATAATCTATTCTCAATCTTATGACTTTAGAAAACATTTTCTGACTCTGAACTAGACTAGATTGAAAATTCTAGGATTTCAAAGATGAATATGACAATGAAGTGAACATTTGAACAGAGAAAAACAAATCTTAAGGCAGAATCACACTTGGTTTCAATTTCTGATGTAAATGTGTGGTTGTTTCCAACTAAATTATAATTTTTAAATATTTGTGAAGTTGTGAGTGTAAGAATGCAGACTAATTGATATATTCAACCTTACACGTGACGGAGGCAGTATGACCTCTGAAACGTTGGTAAACATCGACCAGACTACACAGCGCAACAACCCAGAAGACAGAAATCTTCATACTCATCGCCCTGATGATGGAGGCAGTATGACCTCTGAAACGTTGGTAAACATCGACCAGACTACACAGCGCAACAACCCAGAAGACAGAAATCTTCATATGTAATATAACATTTTAATAGTCATTTAGTTACTAGTTTCTCTGAAATTAAGTTTTGTACACCACCTATTTTTTTGGCATGCCAGTGGTTCATCATTTCTGGCCAAGACTTCAAGATTCAGCAATCCACATGATCAGTAGACTCTGACCAACCAATCCACTAAACAATCAACCAGCCTAACTACGCACTTACCACGTCTCCCAGTATTTTCAAGAGAGCTGTCATATCTTCCTGATTCTGCTGTGCTGAAGACTGTAGTGGTCCTTTCAGAGTGGTAGCCTCAGGGGCTACTGATTTGGGGGATACCGGTTTGGGGGTAGTCAATTTAGGAGTTGTCTGAAACAGAAAATGTACCTTACAGATTCTTATGAACAATTCATCACACATACTGTACATACGTTGTGTATAATATTCATGCAAATATTTAAAAAAAAATTAAAAAGAACCATTTACACTTTTTTCTATATTAGTAACTACAAGGGTAAACCTATGCTTCAGAAAAATTTCTCTGTACTTTCTTTTTCTTATGTTTTGCAAAGATCCTGCCATATCCAAGTTACGCTAGATATGGATATTTAGGCAAGACTGCTCTGTCATATACAGGTAGCCCTCGATTTACGGCCCGGATACGTTCCTGGACGAACCGGCGTAAACAGAATCGGCGTAAATTGAAACTCTTTTATAATATAAATCAATGGGAAGTCAATGACATGCGTTCCCAGCACACAAACATTGACGAGTAATATAAGGGCATTACATTTAAAGCTCTGAAATAACGTAAATGAAAATAAAGGGAATTTAAAAAAATATATTTGATACAATAATAGTAAAAAAAATCAGTTTTTGATTTTCTGGTTTCAAAATCGGCGTTATTCTGAACCGGCGCAAATCGAGGGTTGCCTGTAATGTGAAAAATGTGTAAAATACTAAATCAGACTGTTGGAAAGAATTGAAAACATTATTGTCAAAGCACTGCCACTGGGTAAAACCCATTTGAAGTTAATAATAAATAAATAATAAAAATTCTTCTTGACTTAATCACAATATCGGGGAAGGAGTACAAATGTTTAAGCTCATCTTTTACAGTTTTCTCCATACCCCATCCTCATCTATCCTAGGCCCAAATATGCTCCACAAACACCTGCAATCTATGTTCCTCCCTGAGAGCGAGAGATCCAGTGCAGCATAGAGAATTTTAAAATCATTAAGCATTATAGTGTTTATGTGAGTATTTACTTACTCCTGGAGACTTGGCATTTGAGTTAGTTCCTCTGGAAAGAGCCACTTGGATGATCTGCAACACAAATTATTCCATACTATAACCAAAAATCTCACATTTGATAGAATGTCTTTAGATCCAGAACCAGAAGTAGTGTAGTTTGTAATCCCCCAGCTGGAGGATTTGTAATTTCTTCACATGAAAAGTTATGGTCAGGATGTGTTCATGTGGATAGATGAATTATAAAACAGAGACTTTCATAGGATTTACAAAATTAATCTAAACATAGGAAAATGCTTAGAATATTCACACAAAACACCACTAGAAAGATTATAAAATACTGTTTTCACTTGCCACCCACAAGAACAAGAGACACTGATGGACACTTACTAGAACAAGCAGGAGGAAAGGGTGTGAATGAACAATAAATCTGAAAATGATGAGGTGTTCGAATCACATCGGCTAATTTGCTACAAATGGTTAGAAGTAATCACTCAGGTTCTAGGTCAGGGTTCTCAACCCCTGGGCTGTGTGTGGCTTCTCAATGTGTTTGTGCCGCCAATGCAGTATTACGTGTCATACTTTATGATAAATGATAGTTATTTCATATCAGAAAATGAGTTTTTAATGTCTCCAGTAATGGGCTGTGAGCAACCATTCAGCTTCATGAATAACATCATATCGAAAACTACGAAGTATCTTACAGATGAACGCTTGGATCAATGTGTGCATATCAAAACAAAGAAATTAAAGATGGTATTGAAAAATTACTCAAACAAAGCAATGACAAATATTTCACTACTGACTGATATTGTTAAAGAAATTTGAGTAATATTGAGCCTGCATGCAATAGGAGGCCTGATTTAGTAGCATGTTTAATAAACTGCCATGGTATTTCAATAAATGGTTCTCCTATATAGTTTTATGGCCTCTAAGCCTGTGTGGAAACATTTGATAACCTCTGGCATAAGCTGAAGTTTTTGTTCGAAGCGTGACTTACCCTATTAGCAATTGACGATCCTGGGTCTCTGCCGGGTCGAGGCGAGGTTTCTTTAGGTCGTCCCAGGAGCTGTAACAGAACAAGACCCACCATCATTCCAGCACCTGATAAATTAGTTGGCAGGTTAACAACACTGTATCAACTGGAGAATTTATTTATGAAATGATAAAATTACTGTTGTATAATTAACTTGAAAGAAACAAAGATATTGTGGTGTATTAATTATAATTTATGTTTCATATTCAAGAGATTATAAATGTGTGAATCTGGAACAGCACCTTAAAATTACCCATGACCACCTATGTTATAATAAACCTGTGTTATAAAGTAAAGAAACAAGCAAATAATACATGACTGCACAAAATGTGAAGAATCAAACTTATAATCTCTTGAACATAAATATGCATCTCCACCAGACATAACCTGCTTACCAATATGTTGAAACACTCATCAATGCATGTAACAGGGGGACTGCATCTCATGATGGCAAAATGTAAGTACTTCTAAAACTTTAAGATAAGGCTCAGAATATTGTTGTTTCCACTTCAGTTGCAGTTCTTATCAAAAGAAGAAAACAATTAACTTATTTCTTACAACAACTATTGCTTTCTACATTACTGTAATTCCAAAATATTCGTGTTTGCACACTGTATCTAAACAATTAAAGAACACCAACTAAATAAACTAACGAAGACAATGAACTAACTTACTTCAGTAACTAAAGTTACTGACAAATTGAGTCACTTACCGAAGCTCCTTGGCACAGAACAGTCCGTCAGCAATCAAAAGATAATTATGGAAGCAAATGTTCATTACCATTGCCATTACTGTTCTTACTGTACAATTGTTTCTGAGTATCTGTTACATATATAAGATGCTTAATATGAGGCATGATTCATTATTACAATGGAAGCTTCCAACAAAGACATACCAGTACATTCAGGAAGGAGAAGTCATCAAGTACCCCAGCTGCTGGATTTGATGTTGTCTTCAGATCTGCGGCTGTGGAGTTTGTAGTTGGGGGCACTGGAGCTGGTGTTGTATTCATCGCAGTGGTGGCATTTGCAGTTGTCGCACTGATCGTGGTCGTTGCTTTGGTAGTGACTGTTGCACTGGTTGAAGCTGCGCTTGTGGTTTTGCTGGTAGTGGTGGTGCTTGTGGTGGCAGTGGTTGGAGTTGTAATTATTCTGGAGTTCCTCACAATTGTAGCAAGGAATGAAGCACGTGTTGATGGTAAGAAACCTTTCTGGGGGTCAATATCCTGGACACACAAACACAAAGGTTACACACTTTTGAATCATCACAGGGTTGTACATACATATGGTTAAGAAAAATTTTGTTTTAACAGTAAGACTAAAACCATCGATGTAAATGTTGGAATGATTCCTGTTTCAAGATAAGTGATTAAGTCTGAATCTGTTCTAGCTTTATTTGGTCTGGATAATCATTTCAAAATAGACTTAGAAACACATTCATGGCCGTCACATTTGAAAGAGGCATGGACATTTTTGAGAACAGTCTGCGTAGAAATGGAAGCATAACCCCAGTTTTGTTTTAAGCTGATAACCAAATAGGGGCTCCATCAGGGGCAGTTGGAAATAGTGTCAGTGACACAAATTTTGAACACTGACTATTACTGTAAATTAGAAGAATGTTGTGATTATGTGTACAATAGATTGTTTCAAAGGTCCAGAAATGTAAATTCTATGTGTGGTACAATATTTCAGTTTCTGAAATTTGTTAGAAGGAAACTATACCTAAAATTTACATAAAAATACTGTATTCTAAGAATTAGTACTGTCTTTGAGACACAACTGAAAGAACGTACTTTGTTTCCCAGACAGTAATTAACCCTTTACATACAGGTGACTAAGATTCTATTCACTAGTTTAAGCCTTCAAGTGACTAGGATTCTATTCACTAGTTTAAGCCTTCAACTAAAACAAGTGGATAAATATCCAACCAAAGTTACTTTTAATGTGCATGGATGGTAATTTTCTGACTGAAAAATGTTATTACTAAAGATGTCTGCAAATTTTGGTGCATGAATACTGGTCCCACTTTATGTGAAATGCACTATGTTACTTGCTGGGCTTACAGCGGAGATAAAACTGATGTTTTGGATCCAATGAACCTTGGTTTCATTCTTTTAAATATCAGTAATTTGGCTGCTAGAAACACGGCAAAACTTTCTTGTAATATTGCTACAAATGAGATAAAAGATTTGGGTTTCAATTCTGATTGTGAAGAACAAAGTACCAACAATATATCTGATACATAACAATGAACATAGTAAAAATTAAATGGATGCAATGTGACTTCAGAAGGATCCCAATGAAGACTTTAATAAGTATCTTGTATTTCATAGTTGGAAAATGCACTAGGGAGACAACATTGTCTATGAAACTTATCACCCCTCAGATAAATTAACTGGGCTCTGCAGATGAAATGGGTTGAGTGTTTCTGTACAGGTAAGGTCATGAATTCCTCTGTAGTTTCAGTCACTGTAATGGAAGAGTTCTGGTCCACATGCACTCACTGCTTGAAGTTATGTTACACTGATTTTTTTCAAATACTATCAATTCTCTAACAAATTCAATAATGATTCAGCTCCTGGATGTACGTTTCAGTGGCCAAACAGGGAGTCTTCAGCCTCCATCATGCTTAAAATCTTTTCTTTTTTTTAAGTAAGAGTTTGTAGTCAACATTGATGCCTGCAGCTTGCAACTTGGGATGATGGGAGACAAGATACCAAGGAACTTGAATTAAGTACTGCAAGGGAGATCAGAAAGATATCTACAATATTGGAATATTTTTGTTGTATGACTGGAAACACTGCTGAGGCCTGGTCATACTGTAATTTAAGGTAAGTTAGTGGCTTGCCATGAAAGTTGTTCTGTTGTCCATTTGTGTTGAGTGAGTTTGTCATAAATGTGGCTGCTTCACTAGATGTTTATACCAAGGTAAAACAACATCCTGTAGTTCATCTTTTCTGGTCTGGAGTAGTGAAAAGGCCAGTAATCTACCATTGACAGATTTCCCAGTATAGGAAGCATTGTATGCCACAACGAAGTATGTACAAGTGTTGTTGACACTGACAAGTCAGGGAGCCCACTTGCAACCAAAAATGTTGAGTGCACTCAAACAACAATTCTTGTTTAGAATCATACACTAATGTTGGCTGTCACTGGTGTAAATCTGTGGAGGAGCAGCTGTATTTACACCATGGACATTCAGTACAAACAGGCCACAACTGAACTACACTCACAGCACGCAGTCTGACCTTGAGATACAGTATGACTAGACTTCATCACAGCTACCAGTCATATAAAATATTTGTATCTAAAATATAATACAATCCACAATTTACATTTTGAGAGCTTTTAAATAATATTTAATTTCCTAGTTTCACAGTTCACATATACTGAATTTTCAACAGACCCCCCTCACCACAGAGGCCCTATTTTTTTCTTAAACGGTTATAATTTAATCCTATACAGACAATACTGAAATGTTTTTCAGACATTTTTAAACTATAACCAACAATGTTGTCTGATTTGACATGGTTTTCTTCATCTCCCAATATGTTAAGTTATTTTAACTTTCTGAATAGAATACTAGATATTTCTTGGGCATGTGAAGTGTATGAGGTGATGTCAGTGTTACAATTAATGAAGTTTTACATCCACTCACCAATGCATTGGATATGAGATTTCCCAGAGCAAATCCTGATGTCTGTGTTGGTGCTTCAGTTGGTGCTGGACGTTGCTACGAAAACAAAGCATTAAAAGCAGTTATCAAAATTATGTCGGTCTGTGTCTTTGCCAACCCACTGGAAAGAAGTGGAAATACTCAAGAAATAAATAGAAAGAATAATATGAAAAAAACCCAATAATAACCAAACTGGAAAGCTGTCATCTATACTGGAATACACATGTGCATTCTTTGTAAATTTTGAATTATTAATAAAGATATATGAGTTATCTTGTTTAAAAAAGCTTTAGTTTGCAGCAATACGAATCATGTGGTCTTAATGTCTTCTTCAAGTAACATAAATCAATATTGATAGGCACATTAGTTCTGTCATAGCATAACAGTCTACTGTCTGCTTTTAACATATGCTTACAATACATAAAGCCACCATCACTTCAAGACCACAGATACAATCATGTTTACTGATACTACTTCGTGGGATATAAGTTTTTGTACAGGTTATTTATGTAATTGTTTAGCAGCATACCTGAAGTCCTGTAGCCACAGCTGATGAGAGTTGAACCTGTAATGCAAGATACACTCACAGTATGTTCAGAAATAACTTCAGTAATCATACAGACAATGGTGGCCACATATAACCATGTACGTCACATGTATTTTTCATCTAAAACATCTATTTTTAAGACAGACGCAGCATATGTTTTAGCTCATGAATGTGCCCACAGCAAACATTTACTTCAGAAATGTTCTAATAGTTCCAAAATTTCCATGCTCACAAACCCTGAAAAAATCACAATACACAAATTAGCACCTAAAATTACATTTTCCCCTTATGAATTTCTACCTACATGCCTGCTTCACCTGGTTCATCAACCTGTGGCTAAAGCTATCCATATGTTTCACAAATCTTCCAAAATAAAAAAAGTTACTATATGTATCTCATACTACAGTCAGAGCAGGATATAAAAATAGAACACATTTATGAAATAAACAAATAGGGCTACAACACACATAACCTTTTTTATTATTAATTTACCTTAAAACAACCATCACACAAAGGCAGCCATGATTCTTTCTGTTTCTATAGTGGGCTTTTCTGTAGTATTTTACGCATGTTCCCAAGTGTCTTGTAAACCAATAATCATGATCAATGGTTTTCAGAGTCTTACAGTATATAACAAAGACAACGTCCTCCATTAACTATCCTACAACTGAATGAAGGAAAATATTGTTTTTGGAGGACTAGAAAGGGCGATAGTTTCAGCTTGACTTTCGGCTTCATATCACGTTCTTCCCGGTTTCCAGCCAACATTCATGAGCACTCAACCGTCCAGCTGTTATAACCACCGAAAAACATGGCCACCATTATCCATACAGAATAAGTTTAATCAAGTTCAAAAATTCACAATTTTAATCTCAGCATGTGCATACATACATGCAAAACTTTCATGCTCTCCAAAGTGTTTTCAAAATAAAAATGCAGAGTATTAGTAGATATTCATTAACATGGGAATAAAGTTTTTGACATTTCTGGGAATGCAATCAACATCCTTTCTGGTATTAGGCATACTTTGATACTATGCTAATTTGCCATGTTTAAAGTTTTCTGTAACAGTTCACACTTTCAACACTTTTCTGGTTTCATCTGTAGTATTATGTTAAATCTGTTAATGTGAACAATTTTTCCTCACAATTGATTGCTTAGAAATGAATATGTAAAATCTTTAGTTGCTGTACAGGAGCAGCATGCAAGATATTCAGTGTAAGTTTTGGTCAGTTTATACTGATATGTTACTGTAAAATTTAGATAACCAAATTGATCGCAGTTCAGGAAGTGTGGCGCTGTAAGTAATGACATAGAACCAGGTATATATAACAGTAAATGATATGGCACTATAGTCAACGATTCTAAACCTTACAACAGTGATCCCCAATGCGGTGCCCGCGGACGCCATGGCGCCCTCCAAGGCTTTTTTTGGGTGCCCACGTTGATATGGAAAAAGGTTAAATTAACATGAAGTGGAGGAGAGAAGATGCTATTGAATTTTAAAATACACATTTTCTGTAAAATTAAATTTATTCTAACTACTGAAACTAAAATAAAAAGTATAATACATTCCCTCAAATTAAAAAAAACAAAACAAGAAACTTATCAGGTTACTTTGACATGACAAGCAAAAATTTGAAAGCTTTTCAGCTGTTGTTAGTCACCCATTATCCCACATTTGTAATAATCATTATACACAGGAATTTACTCAGTTCATCTTCACTACTTTGCAAGAAAGGTGATAAAACTAGGCCATTTTCACTAGTAACTACTTCGTGCAAAATACCTAAGAAGATTATGTACAGTAGGTTAAGTCATCATACGAATACTAACAACATATTGGTCCCAGAACAATTTGTGTCCAAGAAAGGTGTTTTCACTGAAGAAGCAACCTTCAAACAGACAATGTGCAAAAATGCAATAATAAAAAATGCATGTTGGAGAAATTTTCTGTGATTTAGAAAAAGCTTTTGACTGTATAAATCATGAAATATTGATAACAAAATTACATTTTTATGGCATTCGCAGAAAAGCTGCAAAATCGTTCAGATCCTTTCTAACAGATCAAATACCAAGTGTCAAAGTAAAATCACCTTAAAACATGGAGTTTCCCAGGGGTCAATTCTAGGGCCCTTTCTTTTCATAATATACATAAATGACCTTCCTCCAACAATGAATACCTTATTAGAACCCATAATATTTGCTGATGGCACAGGTGTCATAATATTTAGTAAAAATGTTGATGATTTCAGTGCAACATCAAACATAGTTCTCTCTCACATCCTTTTGTAATCTGACCAACTACTGGGTGCATGCAATGTAACAAAGATGTATGTATGAACAGTGACCCATGCAAGTATGGTCTTGCATGCAGTGTGTATTCACAGGCCTTCCCAAACCACAACTACAAATACAGAAGCTTACTTGCACATCTTCATCCTGAATAACATTCCTTGCAGTATCTGAGCCATCATCAAAGCCTGGTGCTTGTAGTGCAACCTCATTACTATATACAGAATGTGCCGGTGCTGGAGTCGTGGTGCTAAAATAGCGGTGGTCTGGATAAAAGGGATTACGGCGAGCTATTTCATTTTCATGTACCTGTTCTTTGAAGTCTGAGTTTGGAAGTTTCCTGAACACTGTTCCATTGGGGTAGATCCCAAATATAACATATGGTACTGGGGTATGAATTGTTGTTGTAAACACTTGAGGGGCTGCGGTTGTAGTCGTCTGCGTGACAGAGAGTGGTTGGACATTACTATTTGCAGTCTGTGATGTAATTATAGGGGGAGTTGTAACTTGTGGCTGGGCAGTGCTGGGAGCAACTGTTATCGTTTCAGATGTGGTTGTGGTTGTTGGAATGGTTCTGGTTATTGGTAAAGCTGTGGTTGTAGGAATTTTTGTTGGAAATGTGGTTATTGTTACAGCTGTGGTAGTAGGAATGGTTGTCATTGAAATGGTTGAGGCAACTGGTTCAGCTGTTGTAGGAATGGTTGTGGTTGTTGGAATATTTGTGGTTACTGGTACAGATGTTGTAGGAATGGTTGTGGTTGTTGGAATACTAATGGTTAGTGGTACAGTTGTAGGAATGATTGTGGTTGTTGGAATGGTTGTGGTTGTTGGAATAGTTGTGGTTACTGGTACAGCTGTTGTAGGAATGGTTGTGGGAATGGTTGTTTCTTCATTTGTAGGTATATTTATGGTTATTGGCATGGTTGTGGTTAATGGAATGGCCATGCCTTGTGCTACTGTTATTAGTTCTGTTGTGGTTGGTAAATCTGAAGTTGACACAGAAGTGACTGGAACATCAGTGGTTGATAGACTTGTAGTTTGCAAGTTTAGAGTGTCAAACGTTGTAGTCGATATGTCCAGTAATGACATATTTATGATTAGCTCAGTGGCTGTTTGTGGTAGATCTGTGGTTGTAAAAATGTTTGGTACCTCTGTGGCTGCTCGAGTCTGAACACTGCGTGGTCTGGGTGTTGTTGCAGAAGTAGTCCTTTGAATGCTGTTGTCAGCAATGGTTGATATAGAATTTGTAGCTGGTTCCAGGGCATTTTTAACCTCTCGCACTCTGACAACACGGGACATGCTGTTCAGTTTAGGCCTAGGAGTAGTAGTCAACCTCACTGGCATGTAGTCTGTCATAGCTGGGGCAGGAGTAGTTATCTTTATGGCCATAGCTGGAGGGGAAACAGTAGTTGACAGGAAAATGTCACGAAAGTTTGACAACCAGTTCTTATTAAAGTTTTTATTTTGGGGAAAAACGGTAGTTTTTGATTTTTGGTCTAATGTAAAGTATGCTTCAGTGGTCAAGCTTTTGTATTTTTGTGTGTCTGGAGTGTTCTTTTTGTTATTAATACTGATCTTCATGATTGGTGGTGTTTCAGTTGGGAAACTTTCTTTAGATTCATTTTGTATTTCTTTTGATGTAGTTAGAGGTAAATTAGTCAGAAAGTTCTGCCTTGGTTTGGCAGTAAATTCCACTGTCTCTGTGTTTTTAAGCATGTCTTTTGCAGCAGTTATGTTTATATTTGAGGAGTTTTTTGTTGATATTACAGAATTGATCTCAGAATTTTTTATACCTTTTTGTAGATTCCAATTTTCATGAGAGAGAGAATTATTAGAAAGAGCACTGGACTGTTGATTTGTGAGTCTATTCCTGTTGTTTGAATGTTTTGTTGTAGCACTTCTAGTAACTGTTTGTTCCACAGAGATAGACAGTGGAGTGAAATTACGGCTATTGACAAAAAACTTGGACCCTGGAGCCCATTTAGTGTTTTGATAACTTGAAGAACTGAGTGTGGAATCCTTGCTTGGTGATGGAGTGGGAGAGATAGGTTCGGATGTGATGGAACTCTTCCAACTAGATGGTGTACTCATCTTGGTGACATCCAGAAGATTCAGGGCATCAGAGGCTGTGTCCTGCAAGGATGACAAATTCAATAAGTTCCTTCAACCAGCAGTGTACTTGGTGGTACTGTAACAGGCTTAATAATGCCTATGAAGTAATGTGTTGTGCTGTGTATGCCATAATTAATCTTTCAAACATTCGTTCCACATAGAACACAGAAAATTAAATGTTGCCTGCAACAATTAAGGTACTAAAATACAGTACATAAAATGATTTATGACTGATCTGATTGTGCCAGGAAAAAGTGAAATTCAATGGCATGAAAAAAGGTTATAAGGTAAAGCTTAACTATATGCTATATATGCAATTGTTTCCTGTCTTCAAGAAAACATCTCAGTTACAAAGGTCAGTTGATGAAAAAGGTCACTGTTTATTTTGAGAATTGAATAAAATAAATAAATTCACTTTATGAGCAAAATCCAGAGTTACTTGAATGTTAAAGGAGGTGGTACACAGTTACTACTGCATGCTATATTAATAGCATATCCTGTTTATGGTATCTGCCAACATTTCTTTGGCATGAATACGTTTTTCATTAAATAGCATAACCTTACTTCATACACCTTCTACTTCCCTATAAGCCATCCTATGCTGCAAATAAAATGCCTGAAAGAACTACAATTAGGCTGAATGTTTCTATCATGTTATGGTTCGCAGAATTCAAACACATTCAGTACGTGGTTTTTCTTGCATTAAATAAACTCTATAATATTTCTTGTGAATCTGATTTCTTGTCTCTTATACATCTCACATGATCAATACTGGATTAGTTGAAAATAGGAGTCACAGTGCTGAACACTATGAGACAAATGCTCATGTCCCTCAGAGCAGAAGAGAGAGAGAAAAAAAGGAAACAATTGTGGGCTATATTGTGACGGGATGTAGAGTCACAGTGCTGAACACAATGAGACAAGTGCTCATGTCCCTCAGAGCAGAAGAGAAAAATAAAAAAAAGAGGAAACATTTGTGGGCTATATTGTGACGGGATGTAGCAAACATTTATAGAAATTGGAAAAACAAAAATTAAAATTTCAATAGATAAAATTAGATAAGAGTATGTTTATGTGTAGGTAACACTGACAAATTAATGTAACTCATAATTTTATTAGCTTCATAACTTCAGTTAGGAATCAAAAGTGGGAAACATTTTTATGAAATGAATAACTGATTAATTATTGACAATGCTGATGGGTAAATATGGATCTTGATCAAAATATGTTTGATAAAACTTTAATATACTGACACCAAATGATGTAAAAATATGCTCTCAGAGTCAAAATGTTCAGTACAGGCTGAAATTCACATTGGCAGATGTAATAGGTACAATGCAAAACTTTGCAGGTCTAAAAGTTTGTGAAAAATTTGATATCAATACCATTTATATTGCAATTAAGTTTTTGCTAACATAGTATAAGTCACTATTTCCCAAACTTTTTCCTTCATTACCCAAAACCGCTTATCAGAAAGTCCTTTCTTTACCCAATGTAGGTAAAACACTAACTGTACAGAAAACATATGAGAAGTGAAGAGAGATCGGTAAAAATAGGAAGCAAACAATATGTTTGATGCAATGTCTTTATTTTAAACATCTCTAAACATTATAGCTGCCACAAAAAATTTGGTAATTATTCACCATGAATATTTCATAACCCAGGTCCCAGCTAATGAGTACAATGTCAATGCTCCATCTTATTTACTAGTTCCGCAAAATTGGGAGCAATTGGAGACACAGCACACCTCACAACGTATTCAGGGTTCAGCAAACAGTTTCGTTTTGTGCTCTTTATGAAGGCAAGAGAGGAAAATCCTACTTCACACATGTGGGTGCTTGGAAACTGCAATAATTGCATCACGGCCTCCCCAGCTACCACAGGATATTCATCGTGAATTGATAACCAGAAAGACTCCAAATGGTCTTTTTTTCTTCAAATAACAATTTGCACTGACTGCTTGACCTAAGCTCCATCATTTGCTTTGCAAAACCATTAACACTATCGGGGATTTCAGTCAAGTCACAAAGAAATGGGCGTATCGTTACCCAGAGAAAAACCACTTTTACCCAGGTTTGGGAAGCACTGGTATAAGTGAAAATTAGGCCACTCTTACACCCATCCCAAAATGTTCTCCAATAGACTTTGGTCCTTTAAAATATTGATGAGGATGAAGATAAGAAGAATGGATCCCCAGCTTTCAAGCTTAGAAATGATAACTGATGTGTTAAGGTTCAAATACACTGCAGCAGTGTAACTCTGTGTAACCTTATTGTTCTCCGCTCTTAATATACAAAGTGTTAAAAAATTCATGAGACACATTCCTGGCACATATTCTAGTTGTCAAAAACTGAATTACATTGAAATCAAAAAACAAAATATAATATTATATGAAATGTTGAAAATATTTACCATGTTAAGTGGTGCATGCATATACTCTTTTCCTCATGTCTGATCCATCTCAATGAAGAGTTTATGCAGTGAAGTTTAAAATGCATACGTTAATATTTTGTTTAAATTATTCTGGTGTGAATGGGTTGTTTTTGTATATATTCTGCTTCAAATACCCCCAAAGATAGAAAACTGGTGGCAATAGATCCACAGACAAAGGGAGCCACAATTTTGAAATAATGAAACCGCTGAAGAACTCACTCAACATCTGCATTCTTGAATTTGCTGTATGAACCATGTATCCATACCATGATTCAGGAGCGAAGCTTGTAGATGAGCCAACAGTTTCCAACTATCTTTTTCTAATTCAAAAGATAAATGATTAGAACAGCTTGCAGATGATGGTACATGGAGAGCAGAAGTAGTATTAGACAGGTACAAGAATTTACAGGACCCAGTGTTGTACTGGTTCATAATTCAACACCTGGCATCATGGATTATTTTTGTCCCATTGAATATTCCAAACTCTTCCTCGCACAGTTTCTGGTCACATTATTATTGGAGGAATGAAATCTGTACAGCTGTCAGTATAGTGTCATGCAAGCAACTGGCAGCCTGCCAATACAAGATATCACAAGTAAAGAGGTGAAAAATTTCAAAGCACCTATTTTTTATAGGGGACACAAGAAGAGTTACTGGTGCACTACAAACAGTACTAGACATCTGTTCTGTCTAAAGGAATTACCCAAATCCTCTTTGTTCATATTTTAATATTATGCTAATAATGAATCCCCCTCCTCCACATAGAATGAAGCAGAAGTTGGATCACCTGTGGAAACTGAATAGTGCATGTACTGAAATTCACGATACTTCAAGGTGTACTAAAAGTGTTGACCTCTACAACAGAAAATTTTCTCTGTGACCCTGTTTGGCATAACAGAAGAAATTCACCAAAATTTGGGCCCAGATCCATGAAAAGAAAGAAATTAAACCCCAAAATTTTGGCCCCAGATCCATGAAAAGAAAGAAATTAAATATTATAAGTAAAGACGAGAGAAGTATCACAGCAGTATGCTAGAAAGACTACTTAGGCAAGTACAGCTGTAGCTGATGAAATTTTTGGTATGAACAATGCCTTAACACCCCTAATTAGTGCCACATAGTTGCATCACACTAATAATGGGATGTATCTAAAAATTACAAAGATGACAGTCTCTAGTTGCATGATGTTCACACCAAGTTCTATATATAAATGTAAATTATTTTAAAATTATTGAATAAGGCATACACATGGACATGGTGGGTAGTATTACTCTCTTTTGTTACAAAATAAAGAAAATTGACTGAAAATTAATTGAACGTTTTGATCTTTAATAAATGCACTTAAGAAACAAAAGACTGCAGAAAATTGTTCATAAATGCATGTCCTGGTTAATCTGTTCATTAATTTTATATCTGAAGGCTCAGAAACTGATATTTCCATTCTTCCTCTTGTGTGTACTCTCAGTACAGCTTGGTTTGAGTGTGTAGGATCATGTAAAATAAAGAAGTCAAATCTTTCTAAGAAATATCAAACCACTTTATTGAAACTACCAAATACAAAACTATAAGAAATCTATGGTGTATAAAAAATAAAATCATTTATAAAAAGACTAGTCTGTTTGCTTTTCATCAAATAGCCACTGCTACTGGTTCCACTACATCTAACATAATATCACAGCTCTCTGTTCAAACAGACCAACAGGCAATGATAAATAAAGCAGCAATTCTAGAATATAGACTGGCACATGTGAAGAGTTAAACGAATCTTGTCTTCAGCTTGCCATCCTCACATCACAACTGGTTTGCCCAAGGGGACTGAAGTTCTGATCAGATGAAGCCAAGGAAGGATACCATTTTTCTGATGGCCTTCACAGAACACAGAAACAAACTAATGTTACATCTAATTAAGCTTTAGCACACAGGGATTGGGAATTTAAACTCCTGTACTAAGGGGCTACTAACCAGATTTAATGACTGAGCAGTATGCTGCTATTATGCACAGTTAGTTGGAACGCACATAAAATAATTTGTGACAAACAAATAAATGTCCCATGACTTATGCCATCCTGTCACTTGTATCAACATAGCTCATGCGTGTCGTAGTTTTGTACTATTTGGTGCTTCAGAGCATTCCACAATTCATACAACAAATTCCCTTCACCTGCAGATGGATGTGTTATACCTGCCTCTCTTCTTCCCAGCACACTGCTCTGATGTCGCTATCATCTCTATTTATACAGTATACTATTTCCTCCTTTCTAGGGCCCCAGAAACAAAAATTTGGGGCATTCCTTCTGTTATGAAGAAGCAATTTTCCCATTGTAGAGGTCATTCATGGCAATACACCACAAAGTATCATACATTTAAGTACATGCATTTATTAGCTTACACAGATGATCCTACTTTTGCTTTTATCTGTAGATGGCGCAAGGCGACAGTTTCATTATCATCGTAATACTAAAATATGAACAAATACACATTGACTAATAAGTCTAACACTGATCGTCATGCACCAGTAGCTCTTCTTGTGCCCCCTATAGAAGAGAGGTGCATTAAAAACTTTCACCTCTTTACCTGTGATATCCTCCGGTGGTAGACTGTTAGTCGCTTGCAGGATGTAATGCTGATGGCAGAACAAATTTCATTCATCCAATAACAAAGCGACCAAAATTTATGTGAAGAAGAGGATGGAGTATTCAATGGATTAAGAATAATCCTTGATATCAGTTGCTGCATTATGAGCCAACCCAATACTGGATCTTATAAATCCTTTTACTTGTCTTGTACTAATTCTGCTCTCCAAGTACCATAATCTGCAGGTGATTCTAATTATTCCTTTTTGGAATCAGAGGAAATGTATGTTTTAAACACGATCGACATCCGACCATAACTGTAGGCCATGCACTAATAATATTGTACAATGAACTGAACCACTAAATGCACAAATTGCATGTCATTAAGTGACATGAAACCTTCTCAAATTTGTTGCTTCACTGAAAACCAAAATTGAACAAGAAAGAATAGAATGCCTAAACAAAGCACAAAAATGTGTCTTTGGTACAGCACTGTAAAAATAATTTTATAATCAACCTATAAATAATTAAATGAAATATATCAAAATGTTTCAGGACCATTTAGCAGTATGAAATCAATAATTCAATTGTGCCCTTTCAGACCAAGTTACTGAAACACTTTACAGCCTTGTGCTCAAAGTCTATTTCAAAGCTACAGAGTACAGCCAAAAATAAAAAGGTATTCCAACTTAAAACCTTATCTGGTAGTTGATAAGGAAGGCTGTGTATAAATGAGCATGACAAAATGAGACAAAAAGGATGATTCTTCTCCCACAGAATACTCCAAACGATTACTCACAGAGCTCTTGGTCACAGTATTAGTAAAGGAATCAGATCTGTAATACATCCTACAAGCAACTAGCAGCCTGTCATCACAGGGTATCACAAGTGAAGAAATTAAAGTTTTCAATGTGCTGATTCTTTAAATGAGGCACAAGAGAAGGATTTCAATGAAGAACTGGTTCATGACAAATAGCACTAGACATTTTTCTTATCAGAATTAATTATTCAAAATCTGCTTTTTCTTATTTAGCTCCACCATGCACACAAAGGGAATAACAGAATTAGGATCATTTGTGGAAGCTGGGAAGTACCTGTACCAATATTCCTGATATATCAAAGTATCACAAGATATGTGACATAATAATCTACAATCTTTGCTATTTTTGAGGTACACTTATGACATGAGGGCTTACATAGCAAACCAGCTAAAGATGTGACTGCTGATAAGACACCTTCAAATCATATGGTTATGCAGCTTGGAAGAAGTGTGGACGATGTCGGTCACTAGATGTACATGGATGAGTAGGGCACTTTAAATTCCCTGACCTATTTTCTACAACAAGAAAATTGCTTACTGTGATGTTTGGCATTTAAAAAAGTGCTCCAAACTTTTAACCTGAGGGACTAGAAAAGGTAAAATGGCATACTGGGAGTGGAAATTATGGCAATATCACAGTTCGAAAGACAAGACCGGGAGTTAAATCATACTGATCTGCACCTAAGAAGAGTTTTTATATGAATCGTGGAATAATTTGAAGCCCCAAGTAGTACAAAACTAGATCACATATAAACTATGCTGATAAGCGACAGAATGGCTAAATGTTCCAGCATAAGTAACAGAACTTCAGGATAAAAAATATTTTTTTTATATATTATTTTCTAGTACAGAAGGTTTATTGAATAGAATGATATATTTACAATTTGAGGGAACTAGTTTTTAACCTTGCTTTTGCAGCAAAAGACATGGCTATAAATGGAAAGAGAATACAAGGACAACCAAGCCTAGTTGTCTTATCTGGAGATAAAGCAAATGAAACACTATGCAATGACTGTACACTGTTGTGAGGCCCATGGATTTGGAATATGCGTTTATGTCTGCTTTAAACTGTATCAATTAAAATTGACCATCAAATGGTAGACTGTATTATGGACAATAAAAGTTGGTTTAACATTCTTAAATCAACTGCAGAGTGATTTCTGAAATGCAGCTGTCTCTCAAACTGACACATGCACACAGTCATCTGCGTTTAATAAAACAAGCATCGTATGTAAAACTTTGTCAGTTCTGCTGTCGCGTGGCTCTGTTTATTTTCTCAATAAAAATATTTAAAATGTGTGCACTCATTATCGGACATTCTGTGTATTAAACCATATTTTTTTTGCTACAAAGTGCCAAAGTCCATTGTGAAGTTATCAAAATTCAGTGAAAATAATGCTGTATTCTATGCAAACCAAATAAATATGTAATTGGATATTTTTAATGAAATTCACATTGTAATGTTTGTTATAAACTACTATCATAATGATGAAATGTCAGTATGTGGTTTTCAGCCAGCTTTACCACTGCAATGTGGGCTGTTGAAGACTTACAGAGAGCATTGTCTGTTCAGTGGTGCTGGTGGTGCTGACTGTTGGAAGAGTGGGCACATAAACTGGAGTGGTGGCTAACCGCAGACCATGGCCTGTTGCTCGCAACAGCTTGCTCCGGTACCGTGAGCTGAACCGAGGGATGTTGGCTATTACTGGCTGTGGAGTGACCGTAGACACCTGCAAATATGTCCGGTACACTTCAATGGACTCCAGTTAAACCTGATACTGGTATCTTCATTTTAGTATTTGCCAGCACAATGTAAGCTTCACTTTAGGTATGTACAAATAAAATTTTATCAACATTTTTCAAATATGACTTTGACCAATCAACCAACACTAAGATCAGAATGTGAAAGCTTATCACCACTAATATCAAAATATACCATTGGACATGATTCTAAGCCTGCTCCAGCTGCCTCCCATTCTCACAACCAATCTCCTGAATAATATAAAACATTTCCAGAATATATTCTTCCATTCTATCACCAGAACTGCCAGTCCAGAATATCTAACTGACCAAGAAATGTACCCCAACAAACATTATGAATGACCACGCAAAAGGCTATTTAATAGAGCCAAATGAATAGGTGATTGGCACTTCTATGAAGAAGTTCTCACCAGGAGCGATAAAGAAATTAGGAAAGAACAATTAAAGTGCCAATCACATGGCAAAACAGGATCTGAACATCCAGCACATGCCTCTATTTTTGTTGAATTTTATGCTGTTGAGGTTTAAGCAGAAGTATCAATATTGATGTTGACAATTTTTGGGCATCTCTGTGGTTGGAGCAACTGATGTCTGCTTATGCAAGATACACAGAATGGCTTTTCGATAATTTGAAAGAGGGATAATGGAAGGAACAAAGTTCCTTCTTAGGAAATGGATTAGTGAGATATATGACTATCTTCAGATTCAATGACAGCATCAATATTAGACGCCAAATAGCTGCCCTTTTCAAGAAACATGTATAAACATCACACCAGAGCCACACTGCCCTATGGGTGCATCAAACCCAGGCAACAACATTAGAAGGGTGACAACTTGCTATGGAGGTACAGAATTTTTAGGCATTGCATTGAAGTGCTGAAAATCAGGGCTAGCACCAGAGGGTGGCAAAGTATGCAATTGCCTATGGGAGCCATGGTTGAAGGGGCGCTAAAAAGAACTGAAATCCATCCATAATTAAACTTGGTAATCTAAAAATGTAGGACTTACACATACGGGTGGCAGAATGTGCTTGCGCCCGGGCAGCAGATTTGCTTGGCACAAGCCTGCATCACTCCGCTGTCTTAACCCTTGTAACCAGAAATATCAACATGGTGGCCATGTAAACTTGTGAAGTCACAATAACACTAGTATTGTCTTGCAATTTTGAACAGTGATGGTTCAAAATACCCATAAACAGGGAGAAAATACTGTTAAACTGAATGTGTAATAAATATTCCTGACCTGATATCCATTTTCACTGGATTTTCCTCTCGAAGTAGTTGATGGCAGTTTATCAAGCTTGTTCTCGTCAATGTCAGCAGAATATTTCTTGGAGCTATACCTAGTGAAGGGTGATAAAGTGGTCACCACACTATTACCCTCATTGCTACTGTCCTGTATCTGAATCTCGCTGAACTTATTGCCTCGCTGGTGATTATAGTTCCCCACCAACCGCACTTTGCGATGCTGGATTTCTTGTACATTGTTCTCTGTGTAATTTGATGGGGGCATTGGTGCTAGCTGCAATAACAATGCAAGGACACTAACACATTCAGACCTAAAAAGTTAAGCAATTTATGCTCAAAAAGTAAGGTTTTAGACAACACTTCTAAATACACATTGAAAGATTAAAATATCCACAATATTCCATGCCTTTCATGAAATGTTATCACTGATACCATGTTGTAAGAGCCATCTAGTGGCATAACCTACAGGAATGAATACCAGTCACTGGGTCATATCAGAATTTCCAACTACATGGATGTACTAGAATAATTACATCACAACTTCCTGGCCATAGGTCTCAGTGTATTAGCCTATCAAACATAGAAGTCATTACTTCCTTCCACAGATGTCTACTCTGGCCTCCTATAATACATTCAGCATTCATAAACTTAATATAAACTGAAACTGCTTTTAACTTAAACAGAAGAACCTTAAACCACTGAAGTATTGCTTCTGTTGTAATTTGCTCATGATATATTATCCCCATTCTTGAATTCTTTCAGACAGCCCATACATAACCTACAAACCAATAACATTTGTATGTGCAGTTTGTGGCTTCAGAGTTGGGTTCCATCACAGATTTTTATGTTGAAAGTGGCCTAAGAACAAGATTTTAGTAAATATAGGGACTGCTTACGTGGCATCAAATGGCCAATTGCAGGATGGTTATGAATAGTATGCTGGGGAAACATGGAACTTGCATATTTTAACATCTTTTCAGAAAGTCTCATAACTGTTGTGGTTCAGTAATACTCACCATAAGACTGGCAGTTCTTGGTCTGATCTTACTGATATCTACAGTATTAGTAGTGCTTGACCTCCTGGAGGCTATCTTTAAATCTACCATATTTCTGTCATCAGCATGTGTTCTGCCTCTAGAAGAGTAACTGCTGTCTGTCAGAGGCCTCTGGAAATCAGATCCCATCAAAAAACATCAACAATGGTGCTAGAATTTATAATGAGATGCGTCACAATTTGTATGCTTCACTTCGCATTACTGAGATGAGCACAAGGAAAACAATTAAAGGAAACAGAGTACTTGTTGTAAAACCTCGTAACAAAAGACATTTATGGGCATCTAAGCATAGGCTGGAGCATGATATTAAAATGGTTGAAGGGAGAAACAGGATGAAGAGAAGGATGAGGCTGGCTGAGCATAATGTTCAACAGTGGGCTCGTGTAAATTTTTAAGTTCAATGAAGACTCCAAACCTTGGAGAAAGCGCCACTCAGAACAAGACAGTGATGCTACTTACCTTGTTACTAGGGTAAGCTGTCACTGGTGACACTTGATGGGAGCTGATGAATGAGTCCTGCTGATCAATGCTGCCCTCTGCTTGTGTCTCCTGTTCCTAGAACAATGCATATTGTTTTTCTGGAATCAGGACCTTATACAACTGTTGCCAAAAATAAGGGGTTAGAGGCAGGCTGTGTACCTGACTGTCTCAAATGAGGATCTGTAAACAGATTCATGGTGACAATGAGTAACTGACATGAGGTAATTCAAGAGTAATGAGGATCTGGAAACAGATTCATGGTGACATGGAGTAACTGACATGAGGTAATTCAAGAGAACAGAACTGTGGCAGTATAACCATAAAAATCAGTCCATGTGAAATCAACCAAATGAAGTCAAACTGTTTAACTTCAAGTCTAATAAAATTTGGTACACTTATAGACCTTGTAACCTTAAACAGGAGTATAATGTATACATCTTTTAAACTGGTAGTTTTTACTTTGCAGTAATGCAGGGATGAAATACTAGGAGGCTCGAGAAAGCTGTATAATGAGGAACTGCATAAGTTGTATTCCTTGACAAATATAATTAGACTGATCAAGTCAAGGAGGATGAGATGGACAGGGCATTTGTTATAATTGGCAAAATAAATAAAAAGAATGTGGGAAATTGAATTTGTGTACATTGTCATACTAAATATTATGCAGTTTACAGAAACGTTTGGTTTTTTTTCTTTCTGGTTAATGAGAAAACATATTTATCAGATTGTCATAATGAATTAGCAATTTAATAATTTCAAAACTATTTTAAGAAATAATGGTTTCAAAGAGTTGGTTCTTCTGCATTTTATTCATCATAATATGCTAATTAACAAAGTAAACAAAGATTCATCACCTCGGTGCTTGCATTCACTGTGTTAATGTCTGATTTTGACACCCAGAGTAACATACCACAGTTGGCATCCATTTTAAGTGTATTACAAATGTGTTAGGGCAGTTTGCTACTTACATCAGAGTCCTTACTGACGCTCAGAATCTCGTGTTTCTGCAGACGTGCCAGCTCCTCCTGTGCACCGAATCGTTTTTGTGTACTGTCGTCAGAGTTATCCCAGCTGGATGAAGACTAAAGTAAGAACAGAGTCTAAAGGGTACTCAGTAACAAATAAATTTAGTCATGTTATACTATTCCAGCATTGATGACACAATGTAGTACACTAAGGGTGTGATAAATTTTTACTTCTCTGCATCATACCAAATTTGGAAATATTAGTAGTATGTAACAGATGCAATTAAGAGCCCAATAAAAGTTAGGTAAGCAGATTGAGAATACGTGATATGCATTGAAGTGTCTGAGGATAATGTGTAATGGTAGGTTTTAATAACAGCGGTAATATTGGAGGACAAGGTTGAAGTGAATCTTTGAAAAATAAATTTTGAGAATGAGAAATTAACTCAACTGACTTTCAACTTTAACACTAAAGTTTGTTTCTGTATTAAAGAAGCCGCACTTAAACAATGCTGTAACAAATACATTTGTTACCTTGTGGAGATCAAAATCCTGTCCTCTTAAGTGACTCCTTCTACTTCCACCTCTACTCTTCAGAAGGTCCTCAGAAGCATCTCTGCTTCTTGATGATATCTGGTGACCGAAGTCCCATGATGTGGCCCGTGGGTTATTGGTTGGCATTGCATCAGCTGATACCCCAGATTTGACAGAGTTTCTGAGATGCGTTCTCTGTTGTGTAAGACCGAAACTTCTTTCTGACCCTGTTGATAATCTGGACTTGTTTTGGAACTGTCCTGTACTTCTTGATTCATTCACTTCTGCAAGATTCTTATGACCTTCAGACCTTGATGCAGATCTCCTGTTCTCTCCCTGAGGGGGAGAGTCTGCTGTGATTATCACTCTGGTGGGTCCTACACCTGTCATTGGGATATCAGTAGGGAGTTTGTCTGATGAAGTTGATGTTCTAGGGATAGTGTTTGACACATTTGAAAGATTGTAAACATAATGTGAAGGCTGTCCACTGGGTTGTTGTGTACTTGCAGAACTTATCAACTTAGGTACAGTGTTATTACTGTCATTCGTTTTTCTATTACCACTTGCCTGGGATGTATTAAACTTCCTGCCACTCCTGCCTGAAGAATCTTTTCTTCTGAAATCAAGCAGATTCTCTTCTCTAATGCTTGCTTGTTTTGAAACATCTGTAACCACCTGAAGATCTTGCTTTACTTCAAGTTGTATTGGAGCCCCTATTTGAGCCTTAGGCACCTCCGTTTCAATTGGCATCTGGACACTGAATGAAGACTTTGTTAACAGAGATGATGAGGATGTTTCTCTGTGGGCATGTCGTGCAGTAGCTGGTGTAATACCACTGGGCAGTGAGTCCTGTTTTCTGCGACCTCCAGTAGACCCACCACGCCTGCTAGATCTCCTGGGAGCCTCTGTAGAGGGCACTGGGTCTCTCCTACTATTCTGGGACCTCCTTGAAGTTTCTCCCGAGGGGTTTTCAGACGTGGAGGAGATGGTGTGAGACCTCCTGCTCCCATTCTGTCTGATATTTTTCTCAGAAGAGGCATGTCTGAAGGTTGGAGTGGCATCAACCTGCTGTCTGGGGCTCTCTGACCTGGACTCTTCTAGAGTGGATTGTGGCTCCTGGAAGTTTCGTCGCTGAGACTGTTTGATTCTGCGTAGGGAGACAAGTTCTTGTGTCACTGGAGTTAACACCGAGGGTGCAGACTCTGGTTCAGGGACCTATAGGCAGTGGACAGTCTCATATGTCATTACACATGAAAAAGATGTCTTAATAAAATAGAACAAACAGTTATGTTTTTCTCTTTGTAGAGTGATATCTGATATGCAATTGTCTTTGCAACAGTTGATTTATAAGTCACCATCAAGATCAACAGGGAGAGCAAAATTGCGTGGATAGCCGATGCCTGATGATGGATCTTCTGCCTGTTTTTTGTAAAATAATAAACATAGACATGTAATGAAGTACCTGATTTTGTAATATTGATTTGTTGTGTGAAGATGGCTAATAATAATTCAATTTAATTCATTTATTTATATTTTATAATAATATATAATATTGTTATTTCTCTCAAAACTTGATGCTCCAGCATAACCTAAAGGCACAATAATATTGACAATTTCCCCACACACAAGCCTCTAGAGACCCTGTAAAACACATTACAATGCAGCATGTAGGAATTGGATGGTAACTAATTCAGGAAAATCAATATCAGTCTACAGTGTTGTGATATTGTGTCTCTTGTTAGAGGCCTGTCAGTACTGATAATTTCAGAGATGATGAGTATTTTAGTTCTAATGTAACAGACAGGCTTCAACCTACAGATAAATTAACAGCACCTAAAACTCACCAAAAACATGCAATAGACATAAATGGGTAATTTCATTCATTGGAGACTGAGTTTGCCACTCTTTATCATCACCTTCCTAAAGCAAAACAACTGAAATTCCTCCAAAATCTCTTGAAGAGATTCAGCCATTTCAAAAACCACAATTAAGAGGATTAATCAAGAAAGGATGTGAACCTGGTGGACTGAGGGTTTAAACAGACATAACAGAAAAGCATAAATCTGAAGTAAAGCAATCTATAAAAGTGAAGTTAAATGTTGCCTACAAGTGAAGGTTGTTGTAAACAAATTTCCAGGAAAATCTAAACAAATAAAGAGAAGAAATGTTGAATAAAGTTCTTATGAAGTCTAATGTGACACTTTTCATGATTTGTCAGATGATGTGACTAACACAGTATCAACAAATTTAGGCCGATATATATGAATAAGGAGGAGGCACAAAGCTGTGGCATATTGTTTCCTGGAACCTAACTTTACTCTCCAGTCAGGGTAATGGGTTTTAGTTGCAACTATGAAAAAACTATGTTGGTGTCATCACACCCATGAATAAACGAGCTAGGTTATGTTAGGTCGGGTGTGGTTAGGTTAAGTTTCCTTAGGCTGGATTATGTTAAATTAAATTCGGTCATGTGGGGTGAGGTTAAGTTAGGTCAGCTAAGGAGAGGTTATTGATAGGTTGACTGTCAACATAACGACAGTATGCAATGCATCCCTCAAATCTAAGGACATGTTAATTTGAAATTTCTTGTGGTAGTGATGTGAGTTCAGGTTAAGTTATGTTTTGTGGTTATAGGTCGGTTAATTTAGGTAAATATTGGCTTGGGTTACAATTGGTTAGGTTAGGTTGGCTTAGGGTGAAACAGTGCAGGATGAGTGAGGTTAGGCTGGGTTGCTTTAGTTAGTGTTATATTAGGCTAAACTAGGTTTTATTTGAAATTTGAATTTTTGGGAGTGGCTCACCTCTTTGTTACGAGAAGTAGTGGTGTTCGGTTACGACAGAATCGATTAGACGAGGTCTAGATTCGTTCAATTTCACAAGGAAGTTGATTGCTTTAGGTATAGAAAACTGGAGGAGATTATGAGGGATGGAATTAGCTGAGCCTCTTTCAACTTAGGTTACAGAAGCTGTTAAGTTAGGTGTGGACGGGGGTGTAGGTGGAGGTGATAGCCAGGGTAGGAGGTTTGTGCGTTGTAGGTCTGTGGGTGAGCAGGACGTATTGGGTATTTAGGGCTGATAGAAAGTCAAGTCTTACTTAATACTTCGAAGTGCGAGCTGCAAAAACGAGTGTGGAATGCCTGTATTCCGATACGGATTACTCTTTTCAAGTGTCTTCAAAATCATCGACATCCCACCCCCAAGAGTTATATACAACTGTTAAATTGTTATCAAGTTTTGTAGAAAGTCAAAGAGCATAATTTTAGACAAGACAGCAACGGCATTACGTTCACACGAAGTATCATGAAAATTCATTTAATTATTCCGAAGTTATTGGGATAAATCAAAGAAGGAGGAGACGAACATATCTATACAGGGCATAAATAGCATGTCGAAAGATGGAAATGTGAGCTGTGACTGATACTGATAAAGAAGGCCTATTGCAAATTTGGTTACGGGGATGAGAATATAATACGCGGTAGAATATTTTATGAATCTGTGTTGAAAATTGCTGATATCAATTGAATAAGTATTTGAGTTTGTATATATTGCATGTTTCTTAAGTTACAGTAAGGCTATAACTGTTCAAGATCGACAAAACTTTCAAACGAGAACGGAAAATTAAATGTTATGCATGTTTTTATCACACGAAAAGCTTCAGGGAAGTTAAGATCAGGAAACCTAACCTAATTTCCGATAAGGGTTAAATTGACCTATTCCATCAGGAATTGCCTGCGTTACAGAAAATATCTTCAGATGTGGCTTCCTGAGAGAGCCTCATCGACACAGAATTACATTTTTGGTTCGTGGTGACACCAGTTATAAGAGTACTTGATTGGAGCCCATCCCGTTCCAGCCAGGCTGCAAGACTCACGCGTGTGTCGTTCCGTCTCCATGCGCCGCGATCCCTCTGTTGGGACAACTGTCTGCTTTGCTGGCGATGCTCCGTCCTCTCCGGGCGCCAGGCGTTCGCACCTTCTTCGAACAGCGATTCTTGTTCTCTTGGGCTGTACCTACGGCTACCTCGTGGAGTCACATCGGGCTCCGATGCGTCCGAGCGCTGCAAGAACCAAGTTGTGTCGTCACGAGTAATAAACATGGAGAATGTAACGGGTTCGATCCGTGTAGTCCGTTCTAGTAACAGGGCCCTCACGTCTTCAACCACACGCACTCCTACCTTCATGAAATATTAATGTCATTTGTCCTCTCGTTCATTTGACATCCGCAGTTGATACAGCGCAGAATACTTCGACCACGTTCGTTCCCAACTTCGCGGTAGGGTTGACCACAATCACTTCTCCCCCGCCTGCAACCCTCTCAACCCACCGGCCACAAAGATGTCCCATTCTTTGGATTTCAGGACGTTTCAACAACAAATGTGTGTGGACTGAAACTGTTATTCACATGGAACAGACTTCTTAAGAATTTAGCAACAAGTGCAATCGCCTCTGTTCTTTTACTGGTGAATGCGCCATCAATGGCTTTTCTAACAAATTTTTCCAATGTATTCCTCGTCTCTCTCGTGTTTTTCACATGCCCCTCCCATTCGAACACCGTTGATTTGGCCACCGACATGAAATTTGATGAAGAAACCAAATTATGAAGCTCCTCTCACTTCATTCCTCTTAGCCCCAAATGTTCTCTTCCCTCTGCCCTCCGACATCCTCGACGGAGTTTCTTCACAATAGGAAAGACGGCGATATTCTGCATTTGGATCTCGAGGTTCTCAGATCGGAAAAGCGAAAAAAATTTGAAAGCTCAGACGCCAGATACTGATCAGATTTCGACTGTTTTCGTCAGGGTGATAAATCACCCTGACGATGGAGACAGCAAGAGCCTCGGGAACGTTGATGATGTTCTACCAGACTACGCGGCGTTACAACCCAGAAGACGGCAATCTTCAGACTCTCCGCCGTGAGAACCTCGAAGCCTACAAAGATCCACGACTCGCTATCGTCCTGAGCGACCTCACTTCTTTGCGATTTAGTTTGTAAGACTCGCTTCAAACAATCGCACCGATCTCTTCACGGATTTTCAACTGGATGAATTCCAATTACGCCAACAGACACTTTCCCACTAAAACTGGAGTGGAAGCTTCTGCATCCGTGATCCTCATGAACCGAAATACCGCGTCCCCCCTCGCCCCCGAGACGAGAATCAGCTAACGGGAACACAACAACTTGTTTAAGGTTTCAAAATAAAACAGAGGTACATCTTCACTACTTGAGTAATTGTTAGGTGCCCAATAAGTTTTTTCGATGGGATTATGGATACAATTATAAAATGCCTTCGTTCCTGCATGGGTCCTCATGATTCAGTGTCCTGCGTCCCCTGACGTCCCGCAGTCTGCTCGACGAGCAGCCGGCCATGTCGGGTGTTTCGTGTGGCACTCCATTACTCCGCACGCGGATGTAATAATAGAAATGGCACTTAAGTGTCACAATGGCGCGCGTTCGGTAAGAAACGGCAGGGACTGAGAGCCTAGCGACATTTAAGTGAAACTGAACGCAAACGACATTAGTCGTTGGAAATTCAACATTCATGCACGGACTTAATTTTATTATTATTATTATTATTATTATTATTATTTATTATTGACTGCAAATGGGTTTATACCCGGTGGCAGTGTCCTACAATAACATACAAAACAATGAGACAGAACAGAACAATGAGATACATCAACACAATGAGACAGAACAAAACTATAAACAAAAGGACACAACAAAAACAATAAGACACAATAAACAATGAGATACATCAACACAAAGACAGAACAAAACAATAAACAAAAGGACACAACAAAAACAATATGACACCCAAACAATGGGATACATCAAGGCACTGAGGAAAGCCACAAGAGATGTCAGGATGAAAGGTTTTCGATCCGGGATTTGAACAGAGGACCTCACGTAGCAGGAGTGCCAATCACGAGACCGCGAGATACAGATTTACATTTTTCACGGCATTTCCTGATGCAACTTCAGATGTCTCCACTAGCGTAACGGTCAACAGACTGTGAATAAATCATAACTAACGCAATATCACGCGTCAGTTGTTTCTCTCTTTGTTCTGGAATGTAGCGTCATGTTGCGTTGCAGATTCCTACAAACGTATATATCACAGGACTCACTTCTGTCCTGAAGATGGAGGCCATATGTTCATCTGAAGCACTGGCGACAAACTACAAGACCAAGCATGACGTGACAACCCAGAAGAACAGAACAGACAGTTTCACCTCCACGAGATCGTCAGATCTCACCAGGTTCGTTTGCTCTTTGTTTTTTGACGTTGTCAAGGCAACCTTTTGTTACATACGAATGCAGAGTGACAATAATTCCGCTCCATGACCACAGACTACGGTTCTGGTAATGGTTTGCTAATTGTTGATCTAATTTCTTTCGCTTAAACAAAATGTGTCCAGGACCGTGGCAAATGAAACCTACGACAAGTCAATGCTCCAACTAAACCATGAAATGCTTGCACCTGTCATTCGCGTTCATGGCTGTGGAAGAGACAGAGACAAGTGATCGAAGGTGTTTAATAATTTGCAGGCTACGGCTTATAAAGTGACCACAATATGTCGCTGTATCGGAAGCGAGAACTGACTTAGAAGCAGACGATAAATATTAAATACACCAACAAGGTCACGCCAGACACTTACACGTGTAACGTATCAGTAAACATGGCGAACAATGGAGGTCAAACTGTGGTGCTTATCGGACATAAACGAGGCAAACCACCTTAACTTCACTCAGCACGCCAAGAAGAAGCAGATTACCGGAAAGCCAAAATTATCGACATTTTAAAGAGCCGCCTAACTAAGTCCACGAAAAACAGTCCTTCGTGAGAAGCGAAGCTAGTCAAGAAATTCTCATCTTTACATTTTATCCGAAGGTTCATCACCGTGTCCACAAAATCCCGCCACCTCCCTGTATGCTCATCCATATATATCCGGTCCATAAACGCAGCTCTATATTTGCAAAATCTATTTTAGTATTATCCCATTATCTTTCTCAAGTCATCGGTTTCCAAAGGATGGACCGACGTGTTCTAGGGCCGCGAGATGAACTTAACCTTATGTGGAAGACTCTGTCACACTTTTATCAAAGAATTGAAAACAGACCGTAAACATCTTTACGCCGCTTACGACCGGAAACTAGGTTTGAATCAAATAATTTGTATATATACATTGTTCACATATAACAATAATAATAAATTACTTACATAATGTAATATAATACGTAAATTCAAACCTGACTATTCCAATTCAGATATAAAGCAATCACACTCAAATGGCTTGACAAGCATCTTCCTTTCTCAAAACTTTCCTGGTGGACGTCACGGGGACACAGACCCCCGTGATAATTTGGGGGGTGCATCAACCACCCCCCTTATGCATCTGATATGATCGGCGTGCCTACCAGTTCAAAAAGACAACAAGCAAACAAACTGCGCAGCAGACAGCAGAAGAAATGTCTCTACCACCGCTGACATCCGGTTCGAATCTCTGGCTGGACTGCAGAAAACCACGTGACTCACTTGGCGGCAAAATCACAGATATAAAGAGCAGAAACACGATCATATTCAAGGTCACACGATCATTGTCGGTTCCGGTTCTGGTCGTCTCACAATCAGTTCCGAAGCCTTCGATTATACCGGATGTTCCACAAATGATACCGATGCTTCCAAATGTACAGGCGTCCCAGAATTATTTTTATATTAACAATCCAGTGCGTTTTTTTGTGGTGTATTGTGATAAGGATCTTTAACACACTGCAATCGTCAGGTCCGAGGTCGAACTCAGACTTCGACCACCCATCGAGGACGAATTTGGGATTTTATTGTTTAGGTTCTGAACCAATAAACGATTTCTAAAGAAACTGTTTGCGAAGGTCACACACAGACATTCTCAGATTTGGACTGCTGCAGAGGACTTGTAATTATCGCTCAGCTGGTCATCCAAGAACTCAAACACTCAAGAAGTTCAGAACTTCTTGAAACTCAATACTTTGACAGGCCATTATAGTATTTCACCCTGACAGTCCATAACAACATTAACCCTGGAATACTACACTTATAAATAGTCTTTGTAATATTATACTGGGGAACTGTATACCCCAAGCGATATTTCAATGACAAGGAGATTTATAGTTTGAACAGACAACTTTTATTGATTCAGGAACTTTCTTATACGTAATGATTAATGATATTTTAGTATTTCTTTAACAAAATTCATAATTTATGAGCAGTTAGGCTTGTGTACATGTTTCCATGTTTTTTCATATATATCCTTAGTCAACTGTGATTATAATAATGAAATAAAATTAAAATATAATTCACAGTTTTACTTACATAAATACTACACTGGGGTATACAGTTCCCCAAAAATGCTACTGAACAAAATCTCAACCACTTCAAACAAGTTCAAACCTGCCGCTACAGAGATGTTGGTCTGATATGAGAATACAGCAAAGGAAAACGTAGGCAGTGCTGCCATCTCTTGACAGCACCTGTAAAAAAATCGATTGGGGAATCCAGTACCCCACTATAGTATTCCAGGGTTTAATTGAATTTCTGAAAAATTGGCGTATGTGGCATTGCGTCACAACGAAACCCTAAGCGCTAAGTTGGACCTCACTTTTCGGTAAAAGGGGGAGAAATTGGTACGTCTTGGTAGAAGTAACCTGACTTGATTTTCCGAAAAACAGAGTTAGTAAACATTCAAGGGGAACAGTTGGCTGACTGCAACTTATTTATGTTGGTGCGCCTGATGTTACGTGACATTTCCCTCTACTTTCTTGAAGTCTGTAAGTAGCGATCGCCCTGATGAAGGATTAAGTAAGGACCTGCGAAACGTCTCAAACTTCTATCACAATCAAGAAGATCGATTCAGAAGTGGTCATGGCCTATACTGAGAAATTCGCTCTCGTCTGGGTTTGGTCTGCAGCCTCGGTTCCAGTAAGCAACCTAAAATGAAAGGTGAAGGACTTCCGTTACTACCCCGGGGCGCGGAATGAGCAGCCGCCATCTTGCAGTACTGCCTGCAGGCATAGCCACGGTCCGTTACATTCCAGAGCGGAAAGCGGCTGGAGACTTAGGTCCGATGCACACGAGCGAGTTATTTTGGCGAGCTCGCCGCGTTATTTTCTCTCGCGTTTTAGCAGTACATGTGAAGCAATGGAGCCACGCGAGCACGCCACGAGGACGAGACGAGATATCTGCGCTCGCCAAACACAGCTGCTTCGCAGCGTGCTCGTCGAAAATAATTATGAAATTTACTTTCATCTTCTCTCAAATCTATAAACATTGTCGCGAACGCCCCTTTTAACAGCCGTGAGCTAACCAACGGGTGTGTCCAATACTTCCTATTTCGTTTTTTAAGGATGTATTCATAAACGAAATAGGCAAACACTACACGTTTTCTTCTGTACACATCCATTTCGGTTGCCATCCAATCTAGTACTGGTGGGAGTTTTTCGGCGAACTCGCAGCAATGACGCTACGTGTGCACTAGTGCACTGTCACGGGTTTCCTCGTTGCGAGCACGCGCGGCATTTTCCCGCTCGTGTGCATCGGGCTTTACCGGCTCTCTCTGTACTGGCTGTGAAGGCGCATGCGCGAATCGATTAGGCCGCGTCACCTTATACCTGCGGGCTTTCCCGAAAGACCGTGGTTAATAACAATAAAACTTAAAGTTGAGGATTCGGTCCTGAGTATTACCATTATTCTTGAAAATAACAGAAATGAAGTACAGCAAACCTTTGAAATGTTTATAGTTTAAATGCGTCATGTTTGTGTTTTAAAATTCAAATATATACTATAATTCAAGTCTATACACTAACTTTAAATTGTTGATGTTAAAATTTAAAATTAATATTGATATTTTGCGCTATTCATCGTTATTACGATGTTACAAGTATTGCGCTTTATACTACTACATGTTTCAATGCATAGCATCATCTTCAGGTTTTTTTATCTTTAAAACTACTCTATATTTTTAATGCAAGTTTTTCATTTATTATATTTGTTTTGTAGATTATTATAGTAGGTGTTCCGTTGATCTTATTATTATTTTCATCTTATGTTTTGTTTTTCATTATTAATTTTAAATTTTAACATCAACAATTTAAAGTTTGTGTATAGACTTGAATTATATTATATATTTGAACTTTGAAATGTTGTGAATGGGCATAATTCAGATCATGAACATAAATTCCATTGAAGTCACGAATTATGTCAGGCAAAGTTGATGATGCAAAGACCATGGCCACACCTATTCGATCACTTTAAATGTTTCATATCGATTCTGGCTCGCGAGAGACTTATAAGTGTGTAGGTAAGCAAGCTAGCTATTGTCCACACACAAAACCTTGAACATCGAATCTCATACGTCTCGACATGGAATCAATTAGAAATTTAACATTCTATTGAGACGAAACAAATTTGTTGTTAATGGACCCTACATTTAATTCATTTGAGTTTTATTTTTGACGTAAATACGTCCATATGGAAGGGTCAGTGTCATTCCGCAAAAAAGTGTAACGAAAAAGCGACAGGAAAATGTGTAAGATGGTTACCTAGGAAACGCCAATTGTTTACTCGACATTGTTGTTACCTAGGAAACGTTACCTTACATTTGATTACATTACCTTACCTTGCATTATTTATTTTATTTAGTGTTCTGTGTGACGACAGGTCCATATGAACATGATCCTTCCATCCTTTTCTCGGACTGGGATCTGTTCATATACGTTCTTGGCAGATGATCCAGAAGTGGTTTGCCATTGCCTTCTTCTGTGTGTGAATGGATTAATTGTTGGGATGCCACGGAGAAACCGGGGAAGCCCCCGGAGGGAAACTCCGTGTTGCCTAGACCACGGCCTTGCCCAACACAAGTTATAAATTCGGGCACCGCCGGGAATCGAACCCGAGACCCCAGGATTACAAGGCCAGCTTTCTAACCGCTAGATCACCTCATCTTATTATTATTTAGTGTTCTGTCTGACGACAGGTCCATATGATGTAAGTAGGACACATTATCGTGGAACCGCAACTGTCCAAGTTAGTGAGGTTTCACTGTACAAAGGAAATATTTAGAATAAAGTCGACATATAGACATATTTACGTCTAATTCTCCGGAATCGTGGTTCAACTGACAACATTTATTTCTTTATTATTATTTGATGGACGCCAGTACGAATGATTTATGCACGGCAGGTTGGAATATATACTTTGATAAACACTCATTACTCTTGTTTTGTTACGCCTGAAAGTACAGAGGAAAGTCATAAATATCCTTCAGAAGGGGAAATCCAAGACTGAAATCGATTCGGCTCTGGTTTGCCCTGTGAGAATAAAACAAATTACCTGTCAAAACACTGGATACCTATATCGTCGGTTCTTTGTTTACGAGGTGCGATCAGAAAGTTTCCAGACTGCGCCTATAAAAACCCGTACACTTATCTCAGGTATTAAATTC